AGAAATGGAAATGCCAAATAAAGAACAAAAGAAGAGGCAGGTACCCTTGGTTATCGATGCGACGTCTTCGTAGAACCCTGCCAATAAGACAACATGACAGGTCCTTGTCTCAGTTGGAACTCGTGTGAAGGAAATAGCATAAGCTCCCTCGTTTTGCAAAATATGCCTGAGGTGAATGCACAAATTTTACAGAATTTTGGAAAATTTTAAATAGCCACCGACAGTAAACAGCGAAAAGTTAAGTATACGATAGCCTAAGCTAAGCCATAAAATAAATAGATTATCCAAACATAAAAGAACCTAAAACACATACTCACTAACTTTATAAAGGGAGTATTTCTCATTTCATGGTCCAATATATTGCTCGTCCTAAGACCGTCCGCTACGATTAAAATCAATCGTTTGGTGAGGGGATTAGTACCAAGAGGTATAGGCATTACATCCTGTACAAGAGGTGAGGTATAATAAACGAAAAAAATTGAAAAGAATAATAAAAGGTATACTATGAAGATAAGTAAAGTGTCAATTATTTCATAATGTCTACTATTTTGGCACTTAAAAAAGATCATGGAAAGATTCGACGAAAAACCATTCAGCCCGCTACACAAATTAGGAATAGCAAATGTAATAAATGAATTTAAATATAATTAGTTAATAGCGTTCAAATGTATAATTTATTAATAATTTAGGCAATAACGTAAAGGTAAATCATACTATAAGTTTATTCAAAGTGTCTAAATCCCTGCATGTAATTGATTTGTTTAACTCAAATTGAGGCATGGTTTTTTCATGCTAACGCGCTAAAAGGCTTGTCTTATATATTTATGTCAGAAAGGATGTTTTGACTGTCCTATTTTCACTTTCATTAGCACAAATAGAGGAATGGCCTATATCAAAATTAATTTTAATAATCAGTCTCCAACTTAGATAGAGATAAATAAGGAAATTAGATCATAGATATGACGACCAAGATTGGGTAGTCTTCTGATTGGTCGTAGTCTCTTTTAGCTTTACAATGTTGTCGGTTCGAACTTGTTTTCGCAATTTGGCCGGCGCGTCATGGAGAATTCGTGGAATGTACTTGTCCCATATCCTCATTTATATTATTCGTGATTTCCAACATCGGACCATTGGCTGGGTACATTCATAAACGTTTCGTTGTCATTGTCATGAGAGGAGTCATCGTAAGCACAGTCAAAACTTAGAAAAGTGACAAGTGAAAGCAATCCCCTGGTCCAACTATCTGTTCAACCGTTGTGACATCACTCCTCGCCACCATTTATTGTTCTACCCTCTAGTGCCGCATCTCGTTCTCTCATCCAACTTTATATGATCCATTCACGTATTCGTATATTCTATGCTATCGTTTCCTCCAACGTCGCCTAAGGGTGTGTCTCTACAAATTGGCACTACCGGCACCAGATGCCGTTTGCAGGGCTCCTAATTCACATTCTGCCTCTCCGATTTTTTCTCTGCCTGCGGGTCAATTGGCCGCTGCTAATTTAAAATCACTGGTTGGCTATCTGAAATCGGGCTACCTAAGAACCTTCCACTCCCGTGTTTGATTACGCCATCTTCAATGAGTTAGAGCAGATGATGCACATTTCCATGCCCATGCATATGTCAGTGCAGGAGAATCTTCCTTTTCCTAGGCTTCATACCCGTGACTCACTTATCCCCTTCCTCATCCCCACCTAGATTGTGTCTCATTCTTTGGGGCACTGTGTGCGGCTTAAGTCGTAAAACTGTCGGTGAGGATGAGGGAGAGGATAATTGAGTCACAGGTTTCAAGCCTAGGGAGAGGAATATTTCCGGGCACTGATATGTGCATCATCTGCTATAACTTCTCGAATATGGCGTAATCGAGGACGGAAATGAAAGGTTTTTAGGCAGCCAAATTTCAGACAGCCAAACAGTGAGTTTGATGTTTAGCAGTGGGCAATTGACCAGCGCGTAGGAATAAATATGGGCAGAATGCAGGTCATGAGCTCTGTAAATGGCATCTAGTGGCGGTAGTGGAGATGATTACGATTCGCTAAACCAACATTGAAGGAAACGAGAACACAGAATTGTGTGAATAAGTGGATGGACCATATGAAGTGGGGTTGAAGGAAAGAGATGCGGCATTAAACGGTAGAACAAAAATACAGGCGAGGAGTGATGCTACAACGGTTAAACAGATACTTGGTCAAAGGGATTGCCTTCACTTGTCACTTTGCAAAGTTGTAACTCTGTGCTTATGATGGCGCCTCTCACTGACGATGCCGGCAAAACGTTTGACAATGTACCCATTCAATGCTCCAATGCTGGAAATCACGAATTTTATGGCAGAGAATACGGAACCAGGTACGTTCCACAAAGACTCCCTGACGCTCCGACCAAGTTGCGAAGATAAGGTCGAACCAACAACCTTATAACTAAGGTAAATCGTAGATATTAAGAGCAAACATGATGTGGTCTTCTATTTAGTCGCCGTCTCTTTTAGCTCTTTAGTGTTGGTTTTGTCTCATTTTCACAACTTCGTTCGAGTATCAAGGACACCTTATGGAATGCACCTAGTCATGTGCTCCACGATATATTATTCGAGAGTTACAACATCTGATCATTACTAGGTACATTCCCAAACGTTGTTGGTATCGTCAGTGAGAGGCGTTATCAGTAGCCCATAGTTACAACTGAAACCAATCACCTTAATCAATTTTCTGTTCAACTATCCTGGTATTTTCTCTCGCCCATATAATTTGTCCAACCTTCTGATGATGGATCTCTTTCAACCCAACTTCAGATTACCACTTACTTATTAGCACAATTCTGGGCTCTTGTTTCCTCCAACGTCGCCTAAGAGTGTCGGTATAAGTGGATTTAATGATGCGTAATCATCCTTACCCTCGGTTTCTTGTTCCGTTTTCAAAGCTTCTGACCTTCATTCCAACGCATTTTTCCGCCCTGCTTGTCAATTTGTCACTTTTGCACATTAAAATCACTATCTGGCTGTCAGAAATCTGGCTGTCTATGGCCCTCCAATTCCCGTTCCCGTTTAGTAATATTCGAGGTGTCAGAGTCACTCCTGCACATGCCTAGGCTTCTTCCCCCCTAGGTTTCAACCCCATGGTTTGGTTATCATCTTTCTCAACTCACCCACAATATATATCATTCTTTTAGGCCATATGTCCGGCTTAATTTAGAAACGTTAGTGTAAAAATCTACTGCTTCATCTTTCCGCCTCCAAATTGCGCAATGCACATTCCTCTTGTCTCTAATTTGTCAGTTCGATCTAATCCTAAAATACTAATCAGTTGTTCATATGCTCATTGGTTGACATCCCCCCTTTTTGCTCAGGCATGTCATCGGTCACATTCATGAAAATGCCCACAAACACACACATATACTGGACACCTATCTCTGGCACACATATTCCTTTACCCTATCACACAGCAGTCATTTTTGTGGCCGGCAAAAGAGATGTGACCAGTTATATCCTATCGTATTTTATCACTTTTTCTAAATAGTTAATCGTGTTATTTAATCCTTGCGTTGAATTTCCGTCTCGTCTCTCCTAACTATTTTTGTTCAAGGTCCTTGAAATTTGCTCTGTGAATTTCGTTGCCCACCATTTTGTTGACTTCTTCATGTGGGGAAGGCAAGCCTGTGAAAAAAGTGTTTATAAGTGGATTAAACTCGTTGTCGCAACTTGGTCTTGCTGTCAGGAAGACCAAGTAGGACGCACCTAATCAAAATATGTCTGCCATAGTAGTTGTCATGATTCCTAGTATCAGAAAGTAGACTTGGAACATTCTCAAACGTTTTGCTGGCATCGCATTCGGCATCATCAGTGAGTTTTGCCATTCGCCGCACCAAGCTACGAACTCGTCAAAGAGACA